CCCAAGAGCCCAACTTCCAAATACTATTACACTGGGAGACAGGGCTTCTATACATGAATTTTCTGGACACATTCAGTCCATAACACCCACATATTACAACTAGTAATACAGAGTGAACAGTGGCATTCTAACATCAATTTAGTTGGAGGCAAAGCAGTGCATCCTATTAAAAACAAACCTGGTGAAATTAGAGGGAAGAATGAGTGAGTGGTTCTTCCATTTAGAGGTGGCTGAGGGGCACCATGCATAAGAGAAATGATGTTAAGTGACATTTCCTAGATTGGCCTTTCATCCCAATCTACACTAGAAGAGCAAACCTGAAAATTTTCTTAACTTTCCTGAGCCTCAGTTTCCTCATCTGTTAAAAAAAATATATTTCTCATATTATTGTTAGGAGGATTAAATGAGATAACACATATAAAATACCTAGCACAGTGCTTGGAGATTAGCAATAAATTTAATAAATAGAACAATTACTTTTATATTTTTTAATGGTTTTTTAATCTCATCTCAATTCCTGTCTGATTACAGCCATGCATGCTTCAGCAGTGTAAAAATAATTATTTTCATTCATTTGAATGGCTTACCACTTTTGCCTAATGATGTGTAGCACAATAGTTGTTATACATATCATTAAATATGTGTCTGATTAATCTTGTTATGATTTTAATTGCAACATGAAATTCCTCTCATGCATACTCAGCCATCAAAGGATGTAGTTCATGAAACATGGCTGGCTACTGTCAACCTGAAAGAATTACAGGGAACATTGATCACATATAGTATATATCATAGACCTGAGAAGAGTGTCGCACAAAAGAAAGAAAACAAATTTAGAAGTCATGTACACCAAGAACTGAAAGCTTTACCCAACCACTGTAATTTATTCAACTTTATTCTAAGAGTTTTTCTCTGAAAAATGTGGCTAGTGATACGCACCATGTAGGCTCTTGTGAGGAATCGAGATATTTTATGTAAGATGATCAACAAGGACCTTGGAACACAATAGACGTTAATTATATTAGATATTACCACTTCCATACTATTGGACTTTAACTTGGAAGGGACTTCCAGAAGTCCATAGTATTAACCACCTCTGCTTCAAAGGCAAGATGTTGTCACTTCCCCCACTCTCATTTTCTACGAACACAGGGTATAAAACACCAGCGTGATTTGCCCAAGGTTAGGCAGCTTGCAAGTGAAGGAAGTAGAAGCTGAGCCAGCGATGGGTGCCCCACCTCTTCGTTTACTTCCTCCTTTCACTCAGCTCATGCCCGTGGCTGGCAAAACAACCCAAAGCACACATTCTTCTGGTGTTGAGTCAGTGGCATCCTGTGCCTTCCCAAAGAGAGGAAGCACATTTGAGTCAGGAGGAAATGGAATTGCCAAGTAGGAAAAGAAATCCGAGAACAGAGGACAGCCGACCTGTTCTGTGCTATAAATGTGGCAAAAAGCCACATTAAAATGATTCTGCAGACTCGGTAATCTTGAGAAAATTAAAGTGTGTCAGTATCTGAATCTACATTCCTCCTTCAGGAAGGAAACTAGAATGACTTCCTGTTAATAAGAGCCTGTCTTTATAAGGCCTAAACCCCAAGTTTCCCGGGAGAGCTGGCCTTCCTTTTGGGTGTCATCCCTGAATACTTTCTCATTTAGGTCTCCTTCCCCTGAGTCTGCCTCAGTGTACAGATGGAGCAAGGAATCTGAGCTGTCCCAGATGCTGGCTGCACACTGTCACTGTGGTAGTGGCTGCTCATTCAAGGACCACATCTAACATGTGCAGTCCCATCTCAGAATGGGTAGCTGCTTTCTCAGAAAATTTAGTGCTGGTGCACAAACCTTGACTCAGAGCCCTATGAGACTGATAGAAAAGTCAGACTTGACTACTCGATTTCTTTCCTTTCTATTATCATTGTGACCTAGTCTTCTCTCTGAAGCCATGGGGACAGCGTGTTATGGTGGTTTGAACCTTGGTATAGTATCTCACTGGGAGGTGAGTCACTTTTCTTTTCAGATGTTCCAATAAAAGGGTCATTGCAAGGAAGAAATAAAAGACTATGGCTGAATAGACTAGATATACATTAGGTATGAGGAAAATGATAGTGTGCCTTTATTTGCTGCAAAATAAAAGCTAAGTCTAGAGAAAGAGAGCTATAATAAATATAAATATTTCTGATAATTTCAAATGGATAGGGGTAAAGATAGAGGAGAGTGCTACTTCCCCGTCATGTTGAATATCTCATTTTCTATAACTATAATTTAAAATTTATGAATTTATGAAAAAAAAATTTAAAATAAAGTTAATATGGAGAAGCAGTGTGCCTTTAGAGAGTTTTATATATATATATATTTATATATATACACACACACACACACACACTAGGTATTCATTTCCATTTTAATTGAAATGACTTTTCATACATCAGGAAAACCTTTAATAAAGGAAGCAAAACTAGACGTTTGACATGACACTTTGTTGATGAATTTGGAATATTGAAGCAATTTGAGGATAAATATTTTTCTGGTTATGATAGAATCAAGTTATGATTTTTCTGGTGATGAACTTGTGGTTTGGAAGATTAAGAGCATTGTTGCCAGAGGAGTTGTTTTTTATCAGCTCGGGCAATTTTGTTGGGTTCTTCAGTAAGGTCCTGGCAAAAGCCAGTCTCTTGATTAAAGCTGAGAATCCCCAGATGCTCCATGAATTTTTTAAACCTAAATATGTTCATAATAACTAAACACATTGTATCTCAATGTCCTTCATAACAATTTTGGAGAAGTGGGGAAGCAGTTAACTTCTTTTTTTCTGCATTAAGTGTCAAAGAAGGGGAAAATGTGCTTTTATGTAGGTTCTATAAACGAAGTTCTGAAACATTTTCTAGAAGTCATATCATCTATACTACTAAGAGTTCAGTATGTTTTGTATACAATTTGTTTATATCAATACACCCACTTAAAACACCATTGATGCCACAAAGAGTTTGAAAAAAGTAACACTGTGGAAACATTGGTGTGAGCCAGTATTGCCTGTTTGTATGGCTTGATGATTTCAAGCCTACTTGGAACGTAAGCCATATGGGACTATTCCTGGGATGTGATTTCCATTTGGGCTCAGTCCTATGACTAGCTGATAAGGGCTACGGAAATGTATATGAGAGGAAAGTTGTAGCTGTTATACACTCATCTAGATAATCAAATGGAGGCACTTACGGATGAATAGCTACAATTTCTGTCTACCTTGAAAACTACTGAGGAAGATGAAATGGTCAGGGTCAATAAGTGGACCCATACAGTTCAAACCTGTGTTGTTCAAGGGTCAACTGTATAGTACTTGCAGTTTTCTGGAAAATGTGTTAAGTTTCATGTTGAAAAAGTATGGTTGCTGCAAAACAATCCAGGTACAATTCTGACCATGTTCTCTTGTTTCTTTAAATTAAAGGAAGACGTTCACAAACTCTTCCCTTATCTCATAGCCCAATTTTCAGGAAGTCTAGAATTGTGCTCTTGTCTCATTTGCCCTCATTTTACCAATGAGGAGACAGTTTCATAGCATGAGAGGGATAACTACTGAGCTAGGTTAGCAAAAATTATTCACGTAAGAGAAGGCCCTTGGGAACACTGACAGGATTGTTACCTAGTCCTTCTTTTCTTGGGTCATTATGAACTTTAAAAGGAAATCTATGTTCCATCTCTCTTGTTCGTGTTCTTAAGAGTGAAGCAAGAAGCTTTACTATTTAAAAAAATGCTGGAACAGGGCATACCTACTGTATGTCAGGCACTGAATTTGTGCTAAGGATACAGCTGTGAAAAAGACAAACATAATTTACATTCACAAATGCCACTGTGAAATAAGCGAACAAATAAGTGGTGAATGTGTAGGGGACTAGTTCTTCCATGGCAAAATTACTCCTATGGGAACTTATAGCAAAACAGTTAAAGTACAGTAAGGTTATCTTTTATAAAATTAACCTGAAGTAACTATAGAATTTTGGAGTTGTAGGCCAGGTGCCGTGGCTCATGCCTATAATCTGAGCACTTTGGGAGGCTGAAGCAGTAAGATCACCTGAGGTCAGGAGTTCGACACCAGCCTGGCCAACATGATGAATCCTCAGCTCCACTAAAAATACAAAAATTAGCCGAGCATGGTGATGTGCACCTATAATCCCAGATACTCAGGAGGCTGAGGCAGGAAAATCACTTGAACCTGGGAGACAGAGGTTTCAATGAGCCAAGATCATGCCATTGCACTCCATTCAGCCTGGGCAACAAGAGTGAGACTCCATCTCAAAATAAATAAATAAATAATAAATAAGGAAGAAGAAGAAGAAATTTGGAGTTATAGACCCCCTTTGTGAGAGGCTTTGGACAGATATAGACTCTCTGGCCTGTTTAGGAAAAGAAGGGACATCAGTTTCCTACTGCTTAACAAATGACTACAAACTTAATGGTTTCAAACATATTATCTTCAAGTTCTACAAGTTAGGAGTCTTATAGAACTAAAAGTATCAGCAGAACTATGTTCCCTCTGGAAGGTCTAGGGAGATTCTGTCCTTGCCTTTTCTAGCTTACAGAGCAAGCTTGTCCAACCCGCAGGGCACACGTGGCACAGGATGGCTTTGAATGTGGCCCAACACAAATATGTAAACTTTCTTCAAACGTTGAGATTTTTTTTTTTGCGATTTTTTTAAAGCTCTTCAGCTATCATTAGTGTTAGTATATTTGATGTGTGGCCCAAGACAATTCTTCTAATATGGTCCAGGGAAGCCAAAAAATTGGACACCCCTGTTCTAAAGGCTTCTGACCATCCTTGGCTCATGGCCACATCACTCAACTTCTGCTTCCAGTCTCACATCTTCTTTGCCTCTAACTCTCTTGCATCCCTCTTTCACCTGTAAGGACCTATATGATTACAGTGAGCCTGCCTATATAATATAATCCAGGATACTCATCTCAGCATTCTTTTTTTTTTTTTTTTTTTTTTTTGGCGTAAAAACACTTGATTTTTATTCTGTATTTTATTACTGAAATATGTTGTCCTACCCATCCCACCCTACAATAAAAATCTCACTCAGTCCCCCCATTTCTTTCCCTCATCCCCTCTTCCACCACACCATCCCGGAACAAGTGATCCAGGATTACCTGACCACTGGCCATTTTGGAGTGTGTCCATTGGGTAGCAATGTGGAAACCACCAGGGCCTTTGTGAAGAAAATGGAGGGGGTTGAGGGAGTCCCAGGAGGGGCTTATTTGAGGGCCTTGGCCACTTGCTCATAGGCGAGCTCGATCTCCTCATCATCTGGACAGGTGGAAACGAATTCTTCCCGCGGGTAGGCATTGCTCAAATACCGACGCACTCCCCGGAAGGCCTCGGGGATGGTGAATCCCCGGTACTTCTTACACGCCACCTGTACTATGTGTAACTTTGGCAACAGGTTGCAGTCAGCCAGGGTGAGCTCGTTGCCATCCAGAAACTTCCTCTGAGAGACACCTTCATCTTCAGCACTGGTTTCATCCACTTCTTTTGGGAGGGGGGATGTTAAGTAATTGTCTAAAACCTTCAGGGCTTTCAGGAGTCCCTTCTCCAGATTATCATTGAGTGCTGGGTTTGAATTCTTGATGTAGGCAGAAAATTTGGCAAATATGTCCAGCCCAGCAGTGTTGGACTCAGGGTTCAGAGCCGCTAGCTTGGGGTACCTGGGAGGGCACAGCACTGCCTCCAGAAATTCCTCAATCTTGCTGGTGTCTGTGCACTTCAGTGCCATACAGCAGGAATGGGAGCTGCCCTCCTGGGCACAGCTTCTGCACTGTCTCGGTCCGCCTTTTGGTGTCAACGGTGGTAACATTGAAGGTGACTCCCTTGAGCCACAGTACCATGAACAGTCTCTGGGAGAACGGGCAGTTCCCAATCTTGGCCCCATCACTGCCAGCCTTCACGAACAATTTGACCTGCGGTTGTTCTTCAGCCATGGTTGCGTCGGGGACCAGGAAGTGCCCGTCGCTGGGGGAACTGGGAGGGGCTGGGGCCAGGGAAGGCGGGTCTCACACTCAGGGATTTTCTCCCCTAGACCCAGGGCTGTCCCTTCAGTGCAATATAAGCTCAATCAGACCCTATTTGCTCCCAAACTCGGCCTCCTCACCAGCCCAACGCACCCCACACCCAGCTCCTCCAGCTCGGTCCCCTCCCGGGCTGGATCAGAGAGCCTCAGCATTCTTAATCACATCTGTGAAGTAATTCTTTGCCATGTAAAGTAATAATGACGCATAAATTCTGGGGATTAGGAGGTAAATGTCTTTAGGGAGGAAATTCTGTTGCCTAGCACAGAACATAGAGTGAGAATTAAAAATGTTTCAATTTAACATCTGTTGGGGATGGAATGTTTCTGTAGCCCCCAAATTAATATGTTGAAATCTCAAACCTTAATATAATGGTGCTAAGAGGTGGGGTTTTGGCAGGTAATTAGGTCCTGAGGGGAGAGCCCTTATGAATGATTTCAGCACCCTTATAAAGGGGTTCACAGAGAACTCTCTCATCCTCTTCTCACCATGTGAAGATAAATGAGCAAACAGCCACCTGCAGCTCAAAAGAGAGCCCTCACCACAACCGAGCCATGCTGGTGCTCTGGTCTTGCACTTTCAGCCTCTAGAACTGTGAAAAATGAATTTCTGTTTTTTATTAGCTACCCAGTCTATGGTGCTTTGTTATAACATCTCAACCTAAGACAATAATTAATTCAGGTCTTAATTATTTGAAATAGATAAATATAGATGGAAAGACATTTTAGGTTGAGTTGGAGGAAATTATCTTCACACTCATTACTGTCAGTTTGCATCAGGCTCTTTTACAGTCTACATCTGTGTTTAGACCTTGTTCTACTTACAGAATAAGCACGAGTCCTAGTGATTGCCCTTCAGATACCTTCAAAGGGCAGTTTAACTATAAATTGGAACCACTCTTCTTTTGGAATAAATCAATAAATATAGGGGGATCTCCTAATAATAGGGCACTAATTGCTGAAAGAACAGACCAAAAAATATTTAATATATTTCAGTCCTGTGCCAATTATGAGAATAAGTGAAAAGAGTATACACTCCAAAGCTATTGGTCAAAACATGATAAAGAAAATAAATGCTTACATAGTCTTCCAAATTAAAAGCTAATGTAAAGGTTGGATATTATATTTTCTGATATACATTATATTGTACATACCAGAGAAAGAGAATCAATAGGTGATATATATTAGAGATACATATATGCACACACACATACACACACACACACACACACACACACATATATGAGATTTAGAAAGAGACTTATTTTAAGGAATTGGCTTATTCTAAGGAGTTGTGGAGGCTGACAAATCTGAAATTCTTTGGCCAGACTAGCAGGCTGAAAATTCAAGTAAGAGTGAGGTTGTAATCTTGAATCCAAAATCAGCAGGGCAGGCCAGCAGACTTGAAATTCAGGTGAGATTCCCATGTTGCAGTCTTGTGGCAGAAATCCTTCTTTGAGAAACCTCAGTCTTTGCTCTTATGGCCTTCAACTGATTGGATGAGGCCCACCCAAATTATGGAGGATAATTTGCCTTACTTAAAGTTAACTGACTGTAAATGTTAACTTACATCCACAAATGCCTTCACTGCAGTATCTAGACTAGTGTTTAACCAAATAACTGAGCACCATAGAACCTAGGCATGTTGATACATACAATTACCATCACAATGCCCAAGGCTGAGAGCAATATTCTTATTTCTTTGGTTGGGGCAGTGAGGACTTTTTTGAGCAGAAGAGTCTTGAGAATTAGCAGTAATTCTCACTATTACCACTTATATTACTAAAGGCTGGCATTTAAATACAATAAAAGAAGTCAAAGATTTTTTAGAACTGAAAATTGGGGAAATATGAGATTTTGTTACTTATCATTGTATATAATTTCTAAGTAATGATTACTACTAGAACTACTTTATTGCACAGCCATCAATTCATGTAGAAGGACATGGGCATAAATCCCTGTGTTGATTAATTATTTTGGGAGCCTGGAATCACCTTGAATTAATCAGCCAGGTTACTTTAGAATATAATATATGACATTAATTTTATGATACTATGACAACTATGGAGAAACCAGCTGATTTGAAAATGGACCACCTATCACATTGATAAATAGAAACTGCCCAAATGCAGAGGAAATGTTGACTTAGAGAAATTTACAGATGTTGATGTTAATAAAAAATAGTTCCTTCATATTAAATATAACCAGATAATTTTTAAAAACTTGGAAAGATTAGGAGCTTAAATAAGTAAATGAAGCTGAGCTTAATGCAGAGAGATGTTTTACTAGTTCCCTTTTGAACTACTTTTTTAACTGAAAGAGAAAATAGACTTTTAGAAGTCACCAACATAATTACTTTAAAGATAACAACTGATGCTCATCTTTGTACCTGTTCAGGTACTATCCACTGGCACCATGCAGGAATGCTGGGCCACAGAACCAGGATTTCTATATAGAACCGTATGCACATATATATCCTATATGAGAGGATATTGGTGATGGAAAACATTTGATTTCAAGGTAATTGAGCCTGACTTTGTCTTCTGTATGGGTGTATGTGTGACAGAGAGAGAGTTATCTTAAGGAATTGTCTCACGTGCCTGGAGGCCTGGAAAATTCCAAGTCTTCAGAGTAGACTGGCAGCCTGGAGATCCAGGGAACAGTTGACTTTTGAGTTTAAAAGTAGTCTGCTGACAGGGCAGTCTGCATTCTCATAAGGCCTCCAACTGATTGGAAGAGGCCCATTTACTTTATGGAGGGCAGTCTGCTCCATTCAAAGGCCACAGAGTTAAATGTTAATCTCATCCAAAAAACACCCTCACACAAACATCTAGAAGCATGTTTGATTAAATATCTGAGAAATGTCTCCAGCCAAACTGACACATAAAATTAACCATCACAGATTCTTAACTGATTTAAGCTATGAGTTGGAATCACATGTATAATGGGAATACAAGTAAGAACAGAAGAAATGAATGGATAATATGAAGTTCTTCCAGATTGGATAGTCATGTTTTATTTCCCAAGAGCTCTTTAGACCTCATAAATGCAAGTACAACTCTAATATTAACTGTAATAAAAATGACTTTATAGAGAGAATACATTGGTGGAGTAGCAAGAAAAGGATGTCAGCTCAGGAGGAGACAAAAGGTAAGTCTTTTTAGCAAGTAAAACAGCCCTATTCATTTCCTCCCTTATGGGTGCCTCCTGTCCCTCCTCTGCACCACTGAACTCAGCTGCTCAGTAGCATGCAATGCTCAGCTCTCTACTTCTCTGCATGCCCCTTGTGCTCCTGACAGCAGAAGGGAAGGCTCTTGGAGAGACACTGCCAGCAAGATGCATTTCTAAGTTGGGAGTAGCTTACTACAACAGAGGCAGTGCTGAGCTCACCATCTGCAACGCCTACTTGTATTCCAGTCAGGTTTGTCTACCGAGTCTTCCTCACTCCCCGCTGTGCCATCAAACTGGCTGCAGTAAGAGATAAAGATACTTGTGTTTTTTCCACCACGGACCTATAATCAAGAACCATAACGATGAAGCATACTAATTCTAATCAGCAAAGGCCACTTGTTTACTCATTCGCCTTTTGCCTTTGTGATGTTCAACATGCATCTCCAATCAGTCAGAGATGGAATGTGGATTTGATTTGGAAGGACTCCAGGCTCCTGTGCATTCTGAGCAGAGGCACCTGACCCTACTGCTAGGCTGTTCTATGACTATTACAACTCTAAATCTCAATAGAATGCTGCTACCACCAGCCAGTCCTAGTACCCACAGTGTACCCAGATGAAAGCAAAAATAAAAAAACTTTTCAGATTATTCTTAATTACCTTCCAAAATTCAAGGAAGATTTCCATAGAGAGAAATTAAGCCATTGATTCTATCAATTTATATCTGATGCATCTTGGAAAATGTGGAATTAGATGTCATGTGAAGGCCAATGGCATTGAAGTCCTTTATAGACCTTTTTTTTTTTCATCTGAAAAGATGATTTAGTTACATTTGAACAGGAAGATGAATTAAATGAAGTTTCAAAATAATTTCTAGGTATAGTTCTTTAACATTCTCTCATAAGGACCTTAGGGATAAACAAATAAAAAAATACACACAATAAACATGCCTTTTATACTATTCAAAATTAATTAACTCACTAAAGTTCTCAATAAAAAGTAGTTAATTTAACTATCAGATTCTTTCTTAATATGGCAAAGCAGTCTTGTTTAATGTGCTTACATTTATTCTTCTATTCCCTAGGCCAATAGTGTTTTTAATCTTCCTTTTATCTTGCCAAAATCTATTAATGAGTATATTTAAATACACAAACATTAGGTTAGGAAAAATATTAGCATATATAGTAGCTATTCACAATTATCCAGCCATAGCTTAGCCTTCTTTCCACCCTTTGTATACTACATGGGCCCTTTTATTAACTTACTGATTTTTTTCAAGGTAAGCATTAAAATTTTTTCCTAGCAGGCTTTATGTTGCTAAATAATATTTGTGGGTTTGTGTGTGTGTGATGTTGCTAATTTGCAGGTGGATATTGCAGGTTGAATCCCTAGGGATTAAAATTAGTCCCTAGGGATGCCAACTCTGAAAAAAAATTGGTTGGCTGGTTTTAGTTAAATATATCCAAATATATCAAAATCTTAATTTTGTGTTATGTATAGGTCTTTGAAAATATTTCCCTAGATTTAATAACAAGTTTATAGTTTCTTCTAAAATTGTAGAGTTTTTCACAAAAACTTAAGTGTTTAAACCACCTGGAATTAATTGAAAGGTTTATCATGTTCTATTGTTCTTCTACTTGAGTAGTCAGTTTCTGAATATTGAATTTGGTTTTCAAATATTTAATATTATACATATATGTGACTTATTTCAAATTGTGAAAATTCAATATTTATCAGTGATCAGTTTGTTGCCACTCAGCCCCTAAATCATACTTGAAAATCTCCTCTGTTATAATACACTGGAATCTTCAACATTTCTTCTTTTTCTTAAAATTTATTTATAATTTAGTTTTTCCATAAGTTATTGTGGTACAGGTGGTACTTGGTTATATAAGTAAGTTCTTTAGTGGTGATTTGTGAGATTTTGGTGCACCCATCACCCGAGCAGTATATGC